GGGGAGGGGGGAGGATAGGAAAGGCAGCGGAGCACAACAGACACTAGTATGGCAATATGTAAATCAATGGATGTGTAACTGATGTGATTCTGCAATCTGTGTATGGGGTGAAGGTGGGAGTTCATAACCCACTTGAATCAAAGTGTGGAATATGATATGTCAAGAAATTTGTAATGTTTTGAACAACCAACAATAAAAAATTAAAAAAAAAAGACTAGATCATTTGCTTTTTAATCAAGTATGGCTCTGTGAAAGATAAAATTGAGATTGTGGGGAGCTATCTTTATTTTGCTCCCACTAGAGCCTATTGCGCTAGGTACTTGCTGCTTTAATTGTTTATCTATGCTTTGGATGAACTTCAAGACAAAGTTCATCAGCACTGTATTTATGTAAAATTATATTTTTATCCCTTGGTTCCAGAGTAGCTCTATGTTCCCTTTCCTCCTTTTGTAAACTGGAGTTTAGAACAGGCAAAAAAGATGTATAACAAGTTAGAATGTTAATAACAATTCATGTTGTTGACATTGATTATGGGTTCATCTGGAAACATTCTAATAGCATATAAAAATTCTAAATTGAGAGTTTAAACAAAATGGAAATTATATTTTAAAAAGCAAGTTAGGAATTGACCAACGAGGAAAGAGCTCAAAGAAAGCATTATAGGGAGTACGCATAGGAAAAAAAATATTGCTTTTGTATCTTAATAAAAAGTCTTGTCCTGAGATATTCTAATTTGTGAGCTTTCTGAGTGCTTGCTAGGGACCTAATGACAAAGAACCCTGAGTTCAAGGAGTAGAGACCAATGAAATATCAGACCCTTTCATCAAGGGTGAAGGAGTAGAACACATGATTGAACAGAGATATTTAAAACTTCAAAACAAAGGAAATACTGATGTAACAGAGATTGTGTATGTAAAACAATGGTAGCATTACAATACTCCTAGATCCGCTGAAATCAACTGAGCCTGGACAAACTTGGACATAAATTCTTTGAATAACAAAGTGCTTAAGTTGTCTTTCAGGAAAAGCCTGCAGAATCCACTTAAGAAGGGTTTGGAACTGACTTTTCAAGGATGGACATGCGCAGAAGAAGCCAGCTCCTCCAGTCAGTGACCTTTTGATGTCACAAGCCTAAAATCTCCTGCACAGAACATAGTTCCCCCAGGAAAAGAAACATCAGATCTACGAAGAGGCACGAGGACTGTCTATGTGTGTGTGAATGATCCTTACAACCCCCCTTTATCGCCACCCAATCAACAAGCAGCTTCTCCCCTCTTCTTCCTGTAAACTCCCCCACTCTGCGGCAGATTTGAACCCCTGTTTAACTCCTGACCTCCTTGCCAGTTGACTGCAACATAAACTTTTTTTGTTTTGCAAAATCCTGAGCCATAGCAGTGACTTCTGTGTGCATCAGGCAGCTAGCCCTTGCTCCAGAACAGAACTTTGTGATAAGAGTAGTTACAGTTGTAAATCTGAATTTACCATTTTCAAGTGCGTAGTTGAACAGTGATCAGAATATTCGCACTGTTTTCAAAAGATTACCAAAATGTTTTTATCTTGCAGAACTGAAACTCTATACAGACTAAAACACAATTCCCCCTTTTCCTCTTTACCCCTGGCAACCACCATCCTGCTTTCTGATTCTAAGAATTTGTGTACTTTAGATATCTTGTATAAATGGAATCGCACAATATTTGTCTTTTTATTACTGGTTTATTTCACTTAACATATTGTGCTTGAGGCTCATCCATCTTACCATATGATAAGATTTCCTTCCTTATGAAGGTTGCATGATACTCCATTCTGTGTTCATAGCACTATTCATCTGTCAATTGACATTGGCTATGGTGAAGCACTGTAATGAGCATGGTATACAAATATCTCAAGACTCTGCTCTCATTCTTTTGGATATATACCCAGAAGTGGGATTGTTCAATTATATTTGAACAATTTTATATTTAATTTTTTGAGGAGTTTCCATGTTGTTTTCCAGAGTAGTTGGGTTCTTAATCTCTGTTCTCTGAGATCTCACTCAAATATTAATTCTTTAATTTGGAAAAAGAAGAAAAGTAAAATCCCTCTTGCTAAGGCCTCTTTCTTCACTTCCCTCTTGTCTCCACATAGCTTCCCCTTACTGGCCTGCTCTCTGCTTGAAACCAAATGCTCCCATTTCCTAATGCAACCAGACTCCCAACCCCTATGGTAATCACAACAATGTCCCTCTCTTAAAATATACACACAGGAATCATTGGACATGGTGAATGGGTTCAGATGCAACCTTAAAAGCAGAGAACTGTCTTGAGCTGAAGGAAGAAGAGGAAGACAGGAAAGACGCCCCAGAAAATAAAGCCAAAGAGGTTCCAGGTGCCAGAAGGACTCAATGTACCAAAGCTGGTGCTGAGCTACAGAGGCCAAATGCAAAGAGTCTCTAGGAGCTACAGGCAGACCCTGCTGGGGTCAGCAGAGATCTTAGCAGAGACCTACAACTGTAAGGAACCAAACTCTGCAAGATCTTAAGTGAGCTGAGAGGAGGATTCTTCTTGAAATCTCCAGAGTGGAATGCAGCCTTGCCAGTGTCTTGATTTTAGTGCCATGAGACCCATTTCAAGCTTTTAACATATAAAACTATGAGATATTGCTTTAAACTGCTAAATTTGTGGTAACTTGTTATGGCCGCAACAGGAAACTAATACATTCATACTCACCTGAGGCTCTCCCAGCCCTTCAAAGGTGTCAGCTGGAGAGCCTGACCAACCAATTCTGTGTCTACTAACTAATGCACAAGGGCTAGCATTTTGGAGAGATGCTTTATTTTCATCTGATTCTGCTAGCAGTCAATAAAAACAGCAGGTATCAGATCTGGAAAGAGGCAAGATTAGCTTCCTGTTCAGTGGTATGAGAATAATGTGGGGCCAAGTGAAGCCTTGCATCAGCACATCCTCCTCTCCATGCCAGGCTAAGGGCTGGTCATAGCTTTCATGCTTTACTTTAAACTTCTTCCACCCCTTACTGATAAAATATATGTTCATAGTTTAAAGAAACAAATTGAAGAGTACAGAAGGTGACACTAGGAAAACCAAAATCATCCTTGCTCAAACTCCCACATTTCTAGAAAGTGTTCATGTAATAGTCTACATCTAGATCTTTTTCCTTTCTTTCAAACAGAATTGCTCTATACACACCATTCTGTGATTTGATTTATTTTTCATTAATATATTCTTTTCCAATTTTGTAAAATAATACACATAGAACTGACTCCCTTTTCCTCCTTTTTAATGATCATATATATAAAAGGCTATAAGCTATACCTTACAATTTACTAATTTATACAAACAAATGGCCATTTATGCCAATTTTTTTTTATTAGCTACACATGACATTACAATGAACTTGGCAATTCATACATTTGAATCATTGGGGTATAATTTCTCATTTTTCTGATTGTACAGACTGCAGAATCACACTGGTCACAGAGTCACCTATATACATACAGCAATCATAATGTCTATTCTATTCTGCTGCCCTTCCTATCCCACCTACTCCTCCCCTCCCCTCCCATCATTTCTCTCTATCCAATCTAATGTGATTGGATTTATGCCAATTTTTAAATTTTTTTTTTAGTTGTAGTTGGACACAATACCTTTATTCCATTCATTTATTTTTATGTGGTGCTGAAGATTGAACCCAGGGCACTGCATGTGCTAGGCGAGGGTTCTACCACTGAGCCACAACTCCAGTCCCTGAATATTTTCACTAATACAAGTGAATGTCTTCAGGCTCATACATTTTTCAAGCATATGTAAGTTTATCCATATGATACGTCCCAGAATGTATTACTTTCTTCAGAAGTGTATCTGTAACTCAGAAGTGGAATTACTGAGTTAAAGAACATGTGCATTTAGGGACCCAGGTTGTGGCTCAGAGTTAGAGTGCTTGCTTAGTCCTCTTGAGGCACTGGGTTCAAGCCCTGGTACCACATAAAAATAAAAACAAATAAAGATATTGTATCCATCTACAACTAAAAAAAAAAAACTTAAAAAAGAACAAGTGCATTTAAACATGGATAGCTATTGATTGACAAAATACCACCTAAACCTGTACCAAATTCATTCTCCCCTGAGCAGAGTGTGAGAAAATCTGTCTTGCCTGCATTCTATAATATAGGTTGTACTGGCTTTTTTTTTCACCCTTACTAATTCCTTAAATAGAAAACGTTTTCTCCTTATGTTATCTACATTTCTTTGTTGGTGAAGTGCAACATCTTTTAATGTGTTTGTTGGATATTTATAATACTTTCCATTTCCTAGTTATGTCCCTTAGAAATTTTTCCATCAAGTTCATTTTTTAAATTGATTTATTCAAGTTACCTGTGTGTCAAAGATATAAGTCTTATGTTTGATATGCTGAAAATATATTTTCCCTGTAGGCTGTGTTCTGACTCTACTAACAATGTTGTTTGCTGTCACCATTATAAATTTATACATAAATAGATCAATATTTTTCTTTTAGGCTTTTAGTTCAGGGTCATGGTTGTAAATGCCTTCCCCACTCCAAGATTATTTTTTAAATCTACCCATATTTTATTTTCTTCATTTATATATTTTATTCATCTGATATTTATTTTACTGTAAAAAGGGAGAAGGAATACAGACTTACTTTATCACCAAACAGAAGTTTTGCTAACTTCATTTAATGAAAAAGCCATATTTTTCTCACTGACATGAATAAAAGTAACATTAAATAAATGTATATAATAAATATATGTAGTAAATTTATTCTGTTTTTTTACCTCTCTGCTTTGGTGTCATCACAAATTATTTTAACCATGTAACTTTATAAAATATTATAATATTTTAGTTTTAGATTTCCTTTAGCTTTTTTGCCTTGTTTTTTTTTCCAGGTGGAATTTTTATCAATTTTCAAAAATTTTTCTCAATATTTTGACTTCATGTATTTTGATTTCACTTGGATTGTGTTGTGAAGGCTTGAGTTTTACTTACCCAGATAGATGCCATGGTATCTCTCCTTTTCCTTGAGTTGAGATCACACTAATCTATTAAAAGAAAAAGATCACCAAATTGTATAAATCTGTGATTCAGAATGCAATTATCTCAGTCCAACTCTTAATCTTTAATCTAGAAAACAGAAGTCAATATTCAAAGAAAAAGCCTTCTCAGGAAGAGGATGTGTCTCTGACTGAGGAATCCCATTTGCTAAACAAATAATTACTGGACACCTTCCATATCCGAGGCACTGTGCTAGATCTTTGAAGACTCTACAAAGGAGAAAGAAATCTCCACACTTGAGAGGTTACAGACACGCTTCCTAGAAAGCCTGTTTTTTACTTATTTAAATTCTAGTAGCTGGGTGTGAGCTGGGTGTATGGAATGCACCTGCAGTCCCAACTACTCTGGAGACTGAGGCAGAAGAAAGGCTTGGACCCAGGTGCTTGAGACCAACCTGCATAACCCAGCAAATCCCTTCTCAAAGAAATCAACTAGAACTATGTTTACTGCTCTCTTTTAACCAGGACAGACTGCCATCACAGGGAAGAAAAAGAAAAGAAAAAAAGGAGGGAGGAAAAAAGAAAACACAGGAAACTGCTCTTCCCTTCTAAACCAACACAAATTCCAGATGGCTTCAGTTAGCTTCCTTGTGCTTCATTATGGAACCTCATGCATCCTTTGCAAGGCTCCAAGCCTAATGCCTGTTATAAACAGACACATCTGCTCTTTAAGGAGACCAGGCCAGTCCCTGGTAGGTGCAGAGGTGAAAGGGGCAGTTCTTTCATTGGGAACCAGAGCACACTTTCTATAAGTAGACTTTATTCATTGGCAAGTGTCCAGGATTGATTTAGAAACACAAGTTGCTCCCGCCCATCCTGGGAAGAAAATAATCTAAAAATTCAACTATAGCCCCAAAGCAAAGTTCAACAGGAAATCACAACAATATTTAGGCCTGGGTTTCTCAGGCTCTCAGTAGCCTAGCAGTTGGGGCTCTAGTTAGAGTGTCTAACCCACATTTCTCCCTATGTAGTATATAATGGATACAAGATGCTATTAGTTGTAGTTTTAATACAATTTCTTTGAGCCTCAGTTTCCTCATCTGTAAGAAGAGGAGAGGGCTATTGCTAGCATTGAATGAGATGATATGTATGATAATGTTGAATGGGGTCTTGTGTTCTCACTATGTGGCAGGTCATGCAAAAAGTACTATGAGGTCAATTCCACAAGGCTGGGGATGTCTGTTCATTAAAGCATAGTAGGCTCTGAAAAAATATTTACTGAATTAATGAATGACTTAATACAAGCCTCATAACAATGTAGTGCATTAGATATCAGTAATAACACCTTCATTTTGTATGTGAAGAAGCAGGAGGCACAGAGAGTTATGAAAGTGTTCCACAGTCACAGCTTGTGAGTAGACTCTAGTAACTGGAAAGAGACTCAAAGGTATGAACTTGATGACCCACTTCTTGACTTACTAAGGTGCCTGACCGTACCTGGCTAAAACTGACACTCAGTATTTGTTGATCTAGTGTAATGTGTAAATAATTAAGAAGTATTACTGATCTATCATTTACCTTTTAAGAAGAATTACTCCACTGTGGAGGCCAAATGACCTAAGCAATAGAATTTTAAAACATGTCCTTCCTGAAGAGCATTACAGTGGTTACATAATTTCCTTTTACTTCTTCCTGGATCCTTATTTCTAAATAGATTTCTCCATACAACCAAACAACTCTGAAAATAAGGATTTGGTTTTCTTTACAGTTTAAATTCTCTTTTCTGTCTGAAGATTCTGCCTTCGTGAAACCAGTGGCAATATCTTCACGGAATAACGTTTTCATTAGTTACATTTAAGATGTCAATGAAAAAAGTAGTAACTGAGTTCTTTCAAAGGGCGAAACCTGTTATCTGTGTTGAACATAAATCCTTGGAAAGAAGTTAGCCTGATCTGTGTGACTTCTTATCAGCAGCCAGAGGGGCCTCCAGCTCCCCAGAACTCGCAGCCCCAGTGGAAACTACAATTTCCTATATTTGGTCATCTGCAATCAAGTGCCCACATGCCAAAGGGAATGATTCATGTTTAATGAATCAGGATTCTGTTGCAATCAAAGAAAACGGTGAGTCTTTTCAGGAGAAAGCAAACTTCTCCAACTTCCAACGCCCAATGTCCTAATCGACCTCTCCCACCTCAGAAAATAAAATTAAGTAAAATAAAATAAATTGCCTACGTGAAGAGAAGAACATGCTCACAGGATGGGTGGGTTCCTCTGAGTCAGCCCACCTGGACACTGAGGACCACGATAACTCCCAGCTTTTTTTTTTTTTTCTGGTTCCCAGGACCTTCAGGAACCGAGAGGCAGAGACGTCTAACTGGATCCCCTTGCGCTGCTAGATGCGATGAAAAGTGAATTTTCCAGGGGGCCAAGACAGCTAGGTGTCAGCTGGAGCCCTGCCAGGACCCTAGCTGGGTGATCCTCCCGGGGAATCACACTTTTGTTCCCAGGGACTTCAGTTTCCTCGATTCTGAAATGCAGGAAATGAGCTTTGTGTCCACTAAGGCCCCTCCAGGCCCGCGCCAGTGAGGGGGTCGGTACCCCGCGCCCACGCCAGCACAGCGCTGCCCCTCACCGACCGCGCTCGCGGGGGTTAGTGGGTCAGGCGCATCTACCGCCCCAAGTGGCGAGAGAGGGTTGGCAGGAGAGGCTCGCGGCTTAACTTACCCCAAAAGTGCAGCAGAAGGAGACGCCAGTGCCCGCAGATCCTCGCCCGCGAAGGTGTGCGCCCCGCGCGCTGGTGCTCCGTGCGCTCCCGGCAGCGACCGCACCCCTTTCTCCGGCCACTCCTCCGCCTGTGGACTCCACCTGATCGCGGCCCCAGGCCCGGGAAAAGGAAGCCGCACCCCTCTGCTGCTGGGGCTTCCGCGTTGCACACACAGCTCCAGCCCTTGGCCCAACCGGGTCTCTAAGCTTTCCTACTGGCCTCTCCCACCATTCTCATGTGGAAACCCATTTCCCCGGTTTTGTACATTAGGGTCTTCAAGTTTATTGCAGTGCTTATTTTGATCTAGGCACTGTGGATTCAGAGATTGGACAGTCCCCTGATCTCCTGATAAAAGGTGACAGATATCTAACACCGACAACAGTAGCATGTGTCTAGTATTTACATGGTGTCAGGCACTATTGTCAATGCTTTACACCTGAATTGATTTAAATCTGTATTACAGCAACTCCATAAGATAGATACTACTATTATTCTCTTTATGAGGAAATCATGACACAGAGATTACCGTAAATTAAGCAAAATCGAGCAGAAAGTAAATGGCAGAGTCAAATTTTTAAATTAATTCTTAGTGATGCATTATAGTTATACATGATAGTGAGATTCATTGTGACATATTTGTACATGCCTATAACAATTTGGTCAATTTCATTTCCCAGAACTTCCCTTTTCTGTCCTCTTCTCTACGGCTCTGTACTCTACTGATCTCTCTTCTAATTTCATTAGATCCACTCCACAAATATACCTTTTCCCTTTTTTTCTTTCTAGTTTCCACATATGAGGAAAAAACATATGACCGTGGACTTTCTGAGTCTGGTTTATTGCTCTCAACAATAAACAAAATTGTTCTCAACAATAAACAAAATGTTCCTCAGTTCCACCAATTTTTTTCTGCAAATGATATAATTTTGTTCTTTATAACTGAACAAAACTACATTGTACATGTATGTCACATTCTCTTTATCTGTTCATCTGTTGATGGACACCTAGGCTGGTTTATAATTTGGTTATTACAAATTGTTCTGTTATAAACATGAGTATGCATGTATTGCTATATAATTCTTTTGAATAAATATCCAGGAATGGTATAGCTGGGTTCCATGGTGGTTCCATTCCTAGTCTTTAGAGAAAACTCCATATTGATCTTCATAGTGATTGTACTACTTTACAATCTCACCCACAGTGTGAAAGTATTCCTTTTCTACCACATCCTCACCAGCACTTACTATTATTTATATTTTTTTTTTATACCAAGGACTGAACCAGTGGCACTTAACCACTGAGCATTATCTCCAGCAACACCCTCCTCCCCTTTTTTAATTGAGACAGGATCTGGCTAAGTTGCTAAGGCTGGTTTTGAACTTGCAATCCTCCTGCCTCACAACTTCTAATCTGTTATTATTTATATTTCTGATGGTTGCTATTCTAACTGGAATGAGATGAAATCTCAATGTAGTTTTTATTTGCATTTCCCTAATGGCTAAAGATCTTGAACATTTTTCATATATTTGTATTTCTTCATTTGAGAAGCATCTGTTAAGTTCATTTACCCATTTATTAGTTGGATTATTATTATTATTTTTTTTTTTTTTGGTGTTAAGTTTGTTGGGTTCTTTGTATATTCTGGACGTAAATCCTCTGTTTAGATTGTCTCCCATTCTGTAAGTTCTCTCTTCCCATTTTTAATTGTTTCCTTTGCTGTGCAGAAGCTTTTTTAATTTGACACCATCAGTTTACTAATTCTTGGTATTATTTCCTGAGTTTCAGGAGTCCTATTGAGAAAAATCATTGTGCAATGATTTATGTGATGAATTACATTGAACCATCCTTGCATCCCTGGAGTGAAACCAACTTGATCATGATGTACAATCTCCTTAGTGTGTTGTTGAATGCAATTAGCAAATATTTTATGGATTTTTGCATCTATGTTCATCAAGGATATTAATCTGTAGTTTTCTTTGCTTGATGTGTCATAATTAAGGTTGTACTGGCTTTAGAGCTAGATTTTTGAACCCAGATATTTTAGTAGTCCTTCTGATAAACTTATTCACTCTCTGATATGAGACTTAGAAACAAAGGCTTGGGGAGATAATATGATGAATGGCATTTAAGGTATTTGGAACAACAAAACGAATCAAGGAGGAAAAAAATCAAAGTCCTATTTGTATCGAGGGAATTGTGAGCAGTTGTATGTTGAAGAATAGAGTAAAAAATAATAAAAATTACTATTTATTGGGTAGCAGGCATTAAAGTGTTTGATTACACTGTCTTTTTTTCTTTTTAATCTTCAAGGAAATTCTAAGAGCTGTTGGTTTATTAGCATTTGTAGAAAAGGAAACACAGCTTAGAAAAGTCAATGATTTACCCAGGGACCATGTAAGTGAAAAATATTATAGCTGGGATTGGTCAGCTTTGGACTCTGAAGTTACTGAAGTTACTCCGCCTCCAGGCAGAGCTAAATCAAGAATGATATGTTTCCTGTATTTGGGAACAATTTAGCAGCTAAATGGAAATTATTGAAAGTTTTTGAGAGAGTCAGGTATGAAATACACCTTTTAAAAAGAGAATTCTGGGTCAAATGGTGGTTCCATTCCCAGTTTTCCAAGGAATCTCCATACTGCTTTCCAAATTTGCTGCACCAATTTGCAGTCCCACCAGCAATGTATGAGTGTACCTTTTTCCACGCATCCTCACCAGCACTTGTTGTTGTTTGACTTCATAATGGCTGCCATTCTTACTGGAGTGAGATGGTATCTTAGAATAGTTTTAATTTGCATTTCTCTGTTTGCTAGAGATGTTGAGCATTTTTTCATATATTTGTTGATTGATTGTATATCCTCTTCTGAGAAGTGTCTGTTCAGGTCCTTGGCCCATTTGTTGATTGGGTTATTTTTTTGTTGTTGTTGTTTAACTGTTTGAGTTCTTTGTATACTCTAGAGATTTGAGTTCATACACAATGGAATATTACTCAGCACTGAAAAATAACAAGATCATGGCATTTGCAGGGAAATGGATGGCATTAGAGCAGATTATGCTAAGTGAAGTTAGCCAATCCCTAAAAAACAGAGGCCGAATATCTTCTCTGATATAAGGGGGGTGACTCAAAATGGGATAGGGAGGAAGAGCATGAGAAGAAGATTACCACTAAATAGGGAAGAGAGGTGGGAGGGAAAGGGAGGGAGAAGGGGAATTGCACGGAAGAAGGAAGGAGACCCTCATCGTTATACAGATTACATGTATGATGATGTGAGGGGGGAAAAAAAGAAGTGTGTCACATTAGATTGGGTAGAGAGAAGTGATGGGAGGGCTAGGGAGGGGAAGAGGGGATAGAAAGGGTAGCAGAATAAAGTAGACACTAGTATTGCTATATGTATATGTGACTGCATGACCAATGTGATTCTGCAACCTGTACACTCAGAATAATGAGAAATTATACCACATTTATTCAAATGTATGATATGTCAAGATTATTGTACTGTCATGTGTAACTAATTAAAACAAATAAAAAAATAATAAAAAATAAAAGATAATTCTACAAGTTTTATTTAAAAAAAAGAATCCAAAGAGGGAAAATTAAAATCCCACTGGGAGATTGTAGAAAGCCGTTGGAAGCTGTAAAAATGAGAAATAATTGGAAATGGCATTCCTGAGTACCAAAGCTGGTCAGGAGAGAATGCATGCGCTTTTCCTTCTTCGAAGGTGGAAGAAATTCTAGGATTTGTTTAATTTAAGCTAAATTACAGAATGACAACTAAGAGGAATGGGATGACAAAATTGGTCTAGAAAAACAATTTACAAAGTTCCCACGGTCAATGGTTGAAAACATTGGTATTAAAATTTTTAAGTTGTAAAACATTTTAAAGATACAATGAGAATATATAATATTATAATAATATAGATTACCTATATACCAATGATCTAGTTATATTTAATCTTAAAAATTATGCTGTATTTAATTGGAATATTTCTCAAGATGTTTTTAAGACATAAAGATATAATTTATCTTCCTTGGGTATCCTTTTTCTGTTCCATTTCTCCTCTCTCTCCAGACATAGCCCAACAATAAACTCAGTGTTATTATTATTATTACATATGATATTATATAGTTTAAAACTACTGGTGTAGCCATAAATATTATGTAATACTGTTTAGCATGCTTTAAAACTTTTTAAATACATGGCATTGTGATGTATATTCTGCTACTTACTCTTTCTGCCCAACTCTAGCTATTGTAGGAGCTACTGTCATTCATTAATTTTAACTGCTCTATGTATTCCATTTTATGGCCATATCACAGTTTACTTATCCTTCTTCTGCTGATATATACTACATAGTTCAGTATTTTGCTACTATTAATAATGTTGCAGTGAACATTATTGTACATATCTTCCTGTTTGCAAATGTGTGAGTTGCTGGCTTAACCATTTGATATAAAATAGAAAAGGAAATAAAATGAACACTGAATGCTTGGAATAAGAAATGATTTGTTAATACCAGGAGGTAGGAATAGACTTGACAATTATTTTACTCTCTTACAACTTGTTTTACTTTTGGCACAGGGGCTTAAAACAAATCATTTATTCTGTCAGATAGGTAGGATGACAGGGTGGCTATTCTCTGTGTGTTCATTCTGGGGCCCAGGTACCCAGCAGCTACCTGGAGGAAGGTCTTCTCCTGGTGATGTCAGAGGACAAGAGGGCACTCACAACTGCACAGCACTTTTTAAGCCCTGGCTTGCATTCTGGCTGTGAACATTTTGTTGACAAAAGAAGGCAACATGTCGGGGCTGGGGATGTGGCTCAAGCGGTAGTGTGCTCGCCTGGCATGCATGGGGCCAGGGTTCGATCCTCAGCACCACATACAAACAAAGATGTTGTGTCCACTGAAAACTAAAGAATAAATTAAAATTTTTTTTTAAAAAAGAAGGCAACATGTCAAAAGAGGCCAAAGTCAAAGGATGGAGAAGTACACTTTGCTCTGTGGAGTGAGGGAGCAGAGAAATCTTTTGAGCAATAATTATTCTATCTCAGCAGCACCCAGGGAGTGGGCAT